TGTCTCTTCTGAGAGCTTTGACTGCGGAAGAAATCAAAACCAATTTGTTTTCTGTTTTCTTGTCAAAAAGCCACATAATGAAGCCACTAATGAAATCCTAACAATCTACTTCACATTGAAGTGGGAAAATATCCAAAGGGAGAGCCTTCAACTTCAGTGAGGTGAAAGGGCACTACGAAGATTGTTGGCCGTTGTTGTATTTGGTATTTATATGGTTATGGGTAACATTGTTTAAGAACTACTGGGTCTTTCTGCACTCCTTCATGTTGCATAATATAACTTATACTATGTGGAAAAATAACACCGGACTTATTACTAGGAACCACAAAGACAATCATCATGAATTCTTAAAAATACTGTGTTTTATAAGAAAAGACATTTAAATGTGTGCAGCTATTTTCTTATGTTGAAAAGACTTTGGAAGTTTAAAACATCACAGCAAATAATAAAAATTAAAATATTTTGTTCACACTGAGTAACTACTGTGTAGGTAAAATACCTTAATCATGAATAAGCCAATGCGTTAAGATATCAAGATGGTTTTTTAAAAACCTGAAAACCAACTATGCTTCTGACATGATAAAATCATGGAATTAAATCACAGGTTTACATTCATACAGAATGATGGTGAAACATATTCTACACTTTTTTAAAACTTGAGAATATTTTAGTATCTCTGATTTTTTTGTGTGCTTGTGAGAATCATATGTATGTATGTTATAACTATATTTGTATTAATGCTTAACTGGAAATGTCTATGGAGTTGGCTAATTTATTTTCACTTTTTATTATATAGGAATTTCTAATATTTTCTGTTCTGTATCATTTAAGTTCTTTAATTTGAGTAAATACTTTTTAAAAATGAAAGAAAAACTATGGTATCTAAATTTGAGTTTGTTGTTTTGTTAAGAGAAGTTGAGTTGATTTCGATTCATAGTGACCTTCTATTGGGTCTTCAAGGAGCGGCTGGTGAGTTTGAACCACTAACCCTGTGGTTAGTAATTCAGTGCTTATCCTACAACACCACACCAGGACTCTAGACTGAGCTTACAGTACAGCAAAATTTGACTCAATCTTTTTCTTATATTTAGTAAAGATTTGGTGGTGGTTATGTGCCGTGGAGTCGATTCCGACACATAGTGATCCTGTACGAGAATTCCGAGGCTGTAAATCTTTACGGGAACCGAAAGCCTCATCTTTCTCCTGCAGAACAGCTGGTAGTTTCAAACTGCTGACCTTGAGGTTCGCAGCCCAATTTATAACCACTACGCTACCTGAGCTCCTTTGTAAAGATTTTTAAGTGAAAATTTAAGGGAATTAAAAAAAATTGGCCCACTATCTAAAAGTGTTTCTTAACTGTGAACTCTTCAGAAATCGTTTAAAGCCTAATCCCTTGGGTCTTGTCAAAATGGTTTAGTCTTATCAAAATGGTTCACTTGTGTCCCATCTCCCTTCCACATACATGAACACATATATGCTCACACATGCAGTCGTTAGCCCTCCTTCCATTGTAACAAGCCACTTACATCTTCTACCTCTGAGCCTTTGGTGAAACATGGCTCTCTCATGACAGTATCTCTCTTGGCAGTCTTCATTAGTTGCCCTCCAGTCAGCTCTGACCTTTGGTGACCTGATGTACCGTGTAACCTAGGAGAGTCAGAACACCACAGGACTGCCTTGTTTCTCCAGGTTCCTAGTTTTCTACCTTTCAAAGGGTACAGGCACCATGTTTCAATCATTCTCAATTTCGAAGAAAATACGCATTTCCTTCTCTGACTGATTTCTTCCAAACACATTCTGACTTTCACAGGTTTTATTATAAAACAGATCGAAATGCTGCCTGGTTCTGCATCATCTTCATGATCATTGGTATGTTTGAGTCTATATCAGCCAGAAAAAGGCCATAGGCCAACTGTGGAACAGATTATCAATTGCTCATATACAAGTTCGGGCTGAAGCTGAAGAAAAATTAAAACAAGCCTACTAGAGCCAAAACCTGATTGTTACGTATATCTAATCTGAATTTAGAGATCATCTCAAGAACAAATTTGATTCATTAGACACTAGTCACTGAAAACCAGAAGAGTTGTCAAATGACAACAAGAACATCGTATATGAAGAAAGCAAAAGGAAAGAGAGGAAAGAAAGAAAAAACCAAAATGGATGTCAGAAGAGACTCTGAAACTTGCTATTGAATGCAGAGAAGCCAAAGCCAACTGGAAGAAATGATGAAGTAAAAGAGCTGAACAGAAAATGTCAAAGGGTAATTCAAGAAGACAAAGTCAAGTAAAATAATGAAATGTGAAATGGCCTGAAGTTAAAAAACCAAAAGGGAAAAACACGCTTAGCATCTATCAAACTGAAAGAACTGAAGAAAAGAGTTCAAACTTTGGATTGCAATATTGGGTCACTATGAGTTGGAACCAACTCCATGGCACTTAACAACAACCATGAGCAAAATATTGAATGATGCAAGACATGTGTAAAGAAGATGAAATGAATACACAGAATCATTGTACCAAAAAGAATGGATCAATATTCAATCATTTCAAAAGATAACACATGATCAAGAACTAATGGTATGGAAGGAAGAAGTCCATGCTGCACTGAAGGCATTGGCGAAAAACAAGGCTCCAGAAACTGACACACAAAAAACTTGAAATCTTTCAACAAACGGATGCAGCACTGAAGGCACTCACTCACTCATCTTTGCCAAGAAATTTGGAAAAGACAGTTACCTGGCCAACCAATTGGAAGAGATCCATATTTGCATCCATTCCAAAGAGAAGTGACCCACTGGAATGCAGAAATTATGGGAAAATATTAATATCACATGCAAATAAAATTTTGCTGAAGGTAATTCAAAACCGGTTGTAGCAGTACATCAACAAGGAGTTGCCATAAATTCAAGCCAGACTCAGAAGAAGACATGGAACAGGGTATATTATTGCTGGCATCAGATGGATATTGATCGAAAGCAGAGAATACCAATAAGATGTTTGCTTGTGTATTATTGGCTACACAAAGGCATTAGACTGTGTGGATCACAACAAACTACGGATAATATTGCAAAGAATGGAAATTCCAGAATATTTAACTGTGCTCATGAGGAATCTGTACACTGATCAAGAGGCAGCGGTTCAAACAGAATAAGGGGATTCAGCATGCCTTAAAACCAGGGCTGTGTCCTTTCACCATACTTATTCAATCTGGATGCTGAGCAAGTAATCAGAAAAGATGGTTTCTATGATTGGAAGAAGACTAACAACCTGCCATATGCAGATAACACAATCTTGCTTGCTGAAAGTAAAAGGGCTTCAAATATTTACTGATGAAGATTAAAGACTACAGCCTTCAGTATGGATTACACCTCAATGTAAAGAAAATTTAAATCCTTACAACTGGACCAATAAATAATATCATGCTAAATGAGAGAAAAGATTGAAATCGTCAATGACTTTATTTTGCTTGGATCCACAGTCAACACTCATGGAAGCAGCAGTTAAGAAACCAAAAGATGAATTACTGCAAGAGCTCTTTAAAGTGTTACAGAGCAAAGATGTCACTTTGAGGACCAAAGTGTGCCTGAGTCAAGACACAGTATTTTAAATCACCTCATGTGCATGTGAAAGTTGGACAATGAGTAAAGAAGACTGTAGAATCGATTCATTGGAATTTTGGTGTTATCAAAGAATATTGAAAGTATCAAGGACTGTCGGAAGAACAAATAAATCTGTCCTGCACAAAGTACAGCCGGAGTGCTCCTTAGAAGAGAGGATTTCTGAGGCTGTAAATCTTTACAGGAGGAGAAAGCCTCATCTTTCTCTGCAGTTAGCAGCCCAACACACAATACTCTACACTACCAGGGCTCCTAAAACATTTATAAGAACTGTGCAACTCTTGTATCCCACTTCCTTCACATAGTGGTAGACACAGAGAGTGAAGGAAAGAGTCCCTCAAAAAGTTGTGTGAACACATTCTTCATATTCTCCAACATTTTTCAATTCTTTCAGTCTCTTAATTACTAGTTTTTATTTTCTTTTATAAATAACGCTGAGAAAACCCATGTGAAAAATGGATTGTTAAAAAAAAAAAACAAAAAACACAAACTTTATACAAAATCAAAACAATACCCGAAATGAGAGAACAGGTGAGTTTTTGTGAGAATCTGGCCCTAAAGTCAAATTGTCAGCTTGCAAACTACTCTTTGGAAGTAATGGTGCCACCAATAAGAAAGATTAATCAAATAATTTATGATGCTGTGCTCTGACCCCCAAGGAGTCCTGATAGTATAGTGGGTTATGCGTTGGGCTGCTAACCAGGTCAGCAGATCAAATCCACCAGCCATTCCATAGGAGAGAGATGAGGTTTTCTGCTCCCGTAAAGATTTAGTCTTGGAAACCCTATACAGGGCTGCTATGAAGAGGGACCAACTCCATGACACACAGCAGCAATAGCAGTAGTTACAGACCCCAGCATTTCCAGGAGGCTGAGTGAAGACGGACTATGTTATAACATGGTGGTGAAGGAGGTGATAATTGGGACTAGACAAGCCCTGACATCAAAAGGAAAGGTGTATGTTTTGCCCTATTGTATTAACCACAAAAGAATAAGTGTCCATAGATATTTCAATGTGGGTTTGCAGAGTTCTGGACCATACTCACGCTGTCACTGGACAAGAATCACTTCTGTCAAAGCAGTTAAAATGGCCAGAGGAGCTAGCATACCAACTCCGCAAGTGAGGTGTAGCAGCTCCGCTTAATATTCTGATCCACTGAAACAGCAAAGATCTTTTGTGTCTATGTTTAAATGTACATTTTTAATATTCAATAGAATACTTCCCTTTCACAAATTCTTTACTCCCTGCTTCTATGATGAAGCTTCCTGAGGTCTTTAAAGGGATTGTTAACCCAAGAATGGATCGCACTCTTTCTGCATGAGCAGATACAGTGGCATGCCATTAAGCCTTCCAGTACTTGCTAAGAAGACTTATCGCTCACCTCTGAGGAGATGGGCCAGCTGCTCAGTGATGAGCTCAGGGGCCTCCTGAAGAATCTCTTTCACCACAAGGGAGGAGGAAGACTCTTGGAACTCAACCCCAGCGTTGCTCTGCTCAACTGGACTAATGACTTTCACAACGGCTGATTCTAAAGTTTTGTCCTCACTGTAAGTACATAAAGGAGAGAGAGAGAGATGACATATTTTCTTCTTATTTTGTTTTTATAACGACGTAATCTCTCTTCCAACACAAATGACATCCTCTATCCTTTTTTTCTATTCTCAACAGACAAAGTTATCCATAAGCTCAAATGACTCCGAAGACTTGAACTTTATTTTAGTAGCCTTCTACATTTCATTTCACTAGTTGCTCCCTTGTCCCAGATTCATTGACTATCTTCACACCTTAGTAACTCCATCTTTTGTTTTCCTAGTAGATCATGGTAATAATAATCATTTAAAATAATACAACTCGTGGTCATAGATTGAATTCGACTCATGGTGATCCCATGGGTATCTGCAGTGTTTTCGATGTAGAATTGTTCACAGTACTTTCAATGGCTGATTTTTTTGGAGACCATTTGCCAGGTTTTTCTTTCAAGGCACCTCTGAATTGAGCTCAAACCTCCAACCTTTTGATCATCAGCAGAGCATGTTAACCATTTGCCTGGTACAGGAATTAACATAAAAATAGATAACACGTATCTAGTTTCTATTAGATGTGAGGCAATGCTACAAGCACTGTAGGTGGAATATCATGCTTTATACTATAAAATGATCCTATGAAATGGGTGTTATTAAAATCCCCATTTTAAAAATGTGAAAACTGAGACCGAAAAAAGTTAAGAAATTTAACCATGATTATGAAGCTAGTGAGTGAATTTGTTGTCTTCATCCAACAACTAATAGAAAAAAGGATACTATTGGGCAAACTTCCATCATCGTCCTTTCCATGGGAAATAGAGTTGGCTTTTATTTCAAAAACAGAAAGAAAAGCAAGAATAAGAAAACTAAAGTTATTCACTGTGCCTCTCAAAAACAAATGAATGACAATATAGATGGAAAATCTACCTTTTTTTTTTTAAGTATCATATTTCATAAACAATCCCAAAGCCAGAACTCACAACTTCAATCTCAAAATCAGCCTTAAAAAAAAAAAAAAAAAACTCTTGCTAAGATTTGGAATGACACATGTTTCACAGTTCACTCCTATGACTAGCATTAGTAGTCTTGGGTATACTGGCATTGTTGTTGTTGTGAAGTGCCATCAAGTTGGTTCTGACCTACAGCAACCCTGCATAGGGTTTCCAAGGAGCAGCTGGTGAGCTTGAACCGCCGACCTTGCAGTTCAAACAGCTTTGCAGTCTGGCACATTAACCCACAGCGCCACACCAGGACGCCATACTGGCATTAGTAGTCTTGAAAAAGTTAACACAAAAATTGAGTCAAGCATGTGATTGTCCTGAACACTAATAATTAAAGGCAGTCAAATAGCTTACCAATAACTCCAGATCAGCTGTCAAAAATTGATTGATAAATCTTATTCAAAAGAATCTTATATGTTTCAAACAGCATGAGGACAAAAACAGTCATGCTCAGACAGATTGTATTTTAAAACTCTTTAAAATTGTATGAACTGCATACATGGTATTATTGCATAGCCATACCTAAATATACTTCCTTTAAAAAAAAATTGTTGCTGCTGCCGTCAAGTCATTCACAGCAACCCTGTATAGGGTTTCCGAGGATTTGAACTTCTGACATTGCTGATCCCACAGCACCACACCTGGACTCCAATAAAGCAACTGTTGTTCTGTGCCATCTCAAGATTGCTGTTGTGTTTGAGTCCACTGCAGCCACCACTTTGCTGCCATCAATTCATCTTCTTTTTCATTGACTGACTCTCCTCTCTACCAAGCATAATGTTTTTCTCCAGAGACTGGGCCCTCCTGACAACATGTTCAAACTCGTAGAGACAAAGTCTCACCATCTTGGTTTCTAAGGAACATTCTATACTTCTTCCAGGATAGATTTGTTTGTTCTTCTGATAGTTCAATATTCTTTGCCAACACCATAATTCTAATGCATCGATTCTTCTACAGTCTTTCTTATTCATTGTTCAACTTTCACATCTACATGAGGTGACTGAAAATACTATAGGTTGGATCAGGTGCACCTTAGTCCTCAGGCTGACATCTTTGCTCTTTTGCACTTTAAAGAGGTCTTGTGCAGCAGTTGCCTATTGCAATGCGTCCTTTGATTTCTTAACTGCTGCTTCCATGGGTGTTGAGTGGCCCCAAGAAAAATAAAGTCATTGACAACTTCAATCTTTTCTTCACTTATCATGATGTTATTCATTGGTCTGGTTGTGAGGAATTCTGTTTTCTTTACATTGAGGTGCTATCCATACTGAAGTCTTGGATCATCATCAGTAAGTATTTTAGTCTTCTTCGATTCCAGTAAACAAGGTTGTATTATATGTATATCATTGTTAATGGGTCTTCCTCCAATTCTGATGCCACGTTCTTTTTCATATAGTCCAGCGTCTCTGATTATTTGCTCAGCATACAGATTGAATAACTATGGTGAAAGAACACAAACCTGGCTCTCACCATTCCTGATTTTAAACCATTCATTATCCCTTTGTTCTGTTCAAACAACTGTCTCTTGACCTATCTTTAGATCCCTCATGAACACAATGAAGTGTTCTGGAATACTCATTCTTTCCACTGTTACCCCACATAGTTTGTTTTGATCCACACAGTCTAATGCCATTGCATAATTAATAAGGCACAAATAACCTTCTTCCTGGTATTCTCTGATATTGTGAATAATTTCCAAATTCCATTGGGACACCTTTCTTTGGAATAGGCACTAGTATGGATCTCTTTCAATCAGTCTTGACATAGTATAGTACACTGAGTACCGCCTGTGCTGCATCAGTTTGTCAAACATTCCAAGTGGCATTCCATCAGTTCCTGGAGCCTTATTTCTTGTATTTTTTTAACTTTTTATTGTGAATTGAGTGAAGGTTTACAGACAAGATCATCAGCTTTATACTCAACAAATCATACACGTTGTGTCATCCCAATGACTGCAATCCCCTCCATGTAACAACAGTTATACTGCTTCCTCCCTGTGCTTCCTAGTTCCATTCTACCAATCTTCCCATCAACTATGTTCTTAGGTAAATGTTGCCCTTTTGATCCTGAATGATTGACCATTCCATGATGAGTATACCTTGCTATTGTTGTTGCTCCTCCCTATATACCTACCTGCTGCTTGGCTGAAAATTGGGCCACAAGGGTGAGTTCCTTTCCTACCTGAAGGATAGTTGAGGGCTATAGTTTTGGGTTTCTCCAGTCTCTTTCTTGACAGTAAGCCCAGTCTTTTTTTATTTTCCACATTTTCTCCCACTCTACCTAGAACCTTTTAATGTGATCCTATGCAGAACAGTTGGTAGTGGTAGGTGGGCACCATCTGGTTCTTCTGGTCTCAGAGTCATGGTGACTGATGTTCGCATGCTCCTGGGGTTCACTGGACTAGTTGATTCTAAGCCTCTTAAATTGTCATCATTCTTCTTTCTTCTGCACATGGAGAAAGCAATGGTTGCACCTTGGATAGCTGCTCAGGAACTTTCAACGTCCCAGTCACCACTCTCCAAAGTAAGATGTAGAACACTGTCTTTGTGGACTGTATCAATTGACCATGGTGTCCCCTTAGACTATGGTTCTGAGCCAAGCTCTGCAACTCATTGCCTTAAGATATTTGAATCATTTTGTCTACTGTATGCTGCACCAAATTCATAGGTGTGTTTGCAACAAAGTTTAATTGTTGTTGTTAGGTGCCATCAAGTCAGTACCGACTCATAGAGACCTTATTCACAGCAGAACGAAACACTGCCAGATCCTGGGCCAACCTCACCATTGTTGCCACGCTTGAGCCCATTGATGTTGCCACTTTGCCAATCCATCTCACTGGGGGTCTTCCTCTTTTTCTCTGACGCTCCACCTTAGCAAACATGATATCCTTCTCCAGCGACTGGTCCCTCCAGACAATATGTCCAAGGTATGAGAGACAAAGTTTGACAAAGCTAAATATCCCTGTACAAATATCTTCTCTGAAACCCTTTTATATGGATTTTTCTTTTCTGTCAATGCCTTCAGTACAGCTTGGAGGACTTCTTTCTTCAATAACATCAGTTCTTGATCATATGCTACCTCCTGAAATGGTTGAGCATCGACCAATTATTTTTGGTACAGTGGCTTTGTGTATTCCTTTCCTCTTCTTTTTATGCTTACTGCATCATTCAGTATTTTGTCCATTGTTGTTGTTGCTAAATGCTGTCAAGTAGGTTCCAATTCATAGCGACCCTGTATAGGGTTTCTGCAACTGCAAATCTCATGTTTCTCCCATGGAATGGCTGGTGGGCTCAAACACCAACCCTGTGGATCTCAGTTCAGTGTACGGAGCCACTGCACTCCCATTTTGTCCATTGTTGCTATTTATGTTGTTAAATGCTGTCAAGTTGGTTCCGACTCACAGTGACCTGAACAGGGTTGTAAGGAGCAACTGGTGGGTTTCAATTGTCAACCATGTGGTTAGTAGTCCAGTGTTTATCTTATAGTGTCACATCATTTGTTGTTGTTGTTGTTAAGTGCTGTTGAGTCTGTTTGTACTCATAGCGACCCTGTACAGGGTTTCCAAGGAATAGCTGATGGGTTTGAACTACCAACCTTAGTGTTAGACTAATCCTTCAATATTGCAATCTAAGGCTTGAATTTTTTATTTATTTCTTTCAGGTTGAAAAATACTGAACATGTTCTTCCCTTCTTGTTTTCTAACTCCAAGTCTTTGAATATTTTATTATAATATTTGACTTTGTCTTCTTGAGCTGTCCTTTGAAATTTTCTGTTTAGTTCTTTTACTTCCTCATTTCTTGCAGTTGCTTTAGCATCTCTACAGTCAAGAGCAAGTTTTAGGATTTCTTCTGACATCCATTTTGGATTTTTCTTTCTTTTTTTCCCCTCTCTTTTTAATGACCTTTTGTTTGCTTCATGTCTGACTTTCTTTGTCTAATCTATCAAATCTGTTCTTGAGATGTTCTCTAAATTCAAGTGGGATATATTCAAGGTCATATATTTACTCTCATTTGTTGTTGTTATGTGCTGTCGAGTCGATTCCGACCCATAGCGACCCTGTGTAGGGTTTCTGAGGAGCAGCTGGTGAGCTTGAACCACCGACCTTGCAGTTCAAACGGCTTTACTCTCATTGAGTTGTTCTCATTTTCTTCAGCTTTAGCCTGAACTTGTGTATGAGCAACTGATGGTCTGTTTCACCATCGGCCCTTAGCCTTATTTTGGCTGGTGGTATTGAGCTTCTCCACCATGTGTTCCCACAGATGATGGTCGATATGACTCCTGTGTATGCCACCTGGTACATAGCCAGTTCTTATGTTGCAAAAAGGTATTTGCAATGAATAAGTCACTGAGATCTTGCAAAACTCTATCATGTGATCTCTAGCATTGTTTCTATCACAAAGGCCATATTTTCCAGCCACTGATCCTTCCTCTTTGTTTCCAGCTTTCATATTCTAATCAACTTGATTGCATATTTGATCAATTTCACACTGAAGAAGTTAACAGACTTCTTCGATTTCATCATCACTGGCTTTATTGATCGGTGCAAAAATTTGAATATTGCCTGGTCCCCTTTTATGCTGGTTTGTAAGGTTGAAGGCAGAACATTTGTTTTGTTCATCTTTATATGCCTTTAGATACTTGTAGTGACTCTAATGTACTTATTGACAACTCAAGTACTATCCAAACTATATTAATCACTGTACAAGGGGCTTTAAATGTTTAGGGGGAAATGGAATTGAAAAAATAATCAAAATTTTTCCACAAAGATTTTGAAGCTTCCTCACATGTGGAACCTTAGGCAAGTCACTTGAGATATTAGATTTTAGTTTCTTGTCCACAAAAGGAATTTGAACTACATGAACTTTTAAAAAAAGAAAACTCTTCTACCTCATACAGTATAAAATGCAATGAATGACAAAACCAATGATCTTAACCTATCTCTACATAAGTTTGTATTTCACTACCACAAACTCCCTCCAAAAAATCTTTTGGTTTAATTTAGTGTTTAATTCCAATATTCCAATCTCCATTAGAACTACTACATTGTGATAAGAAAACACTTGAAGTTAATTAATTTAAAATTATAATTTTGATCCGTTTTTTAAAGAACATTACACTAAAGATGCCATAATTGAAATGCAAAAGTAAATGCAGAGGATCAGCAGAGCCCAAACTTTGCAGAAGGGAGAAAAAAAAAAAAAAAAATTCCCTTTTCTCTAAAAACTCTCTGCTTTAATAAAAAAAACAGCTGCTGTAAAGTTGATTCCAACTCATGGTGATCCTATATGTGTCAGAGTAGGGTTTTCTAAGGCTGATTTTTTCAGAAGTAGATCCCCAGGCTCTTCTTAGGAAACTCAGGGTGAACTCGAACCTCCAGCCTTTCAGTCACCTGTTGAGCTCATTAATTGTCTGCACCACCCAGAAACTTCTGAACAAGGTGATACTATGCCCACAAGAGCTTTCATCAAAGGACCAGTCTCGCAGAGCCTCACATGAAGCCTTACCTGGCCAGCACGTTGCTACCAACCAGTGTTAAAGATAACTTCCCTTCATTGTTTAGCTGGTGCAGATTAATTTCATCTCGGAATATGTGAACTGATTCAGAGATATTTAGCTCTTCTAAAATAAACCTCGTCTCGGTGAAATAGTTGAATTCAGTTCTCGGGATGTTCAGTACTGGCAAACAGAGAACCCCAGGTGGACTGACCTACCAAGAAAAAAGTTGACTTCATCACTGAAAACAGCAGGAGGGAAAACAAAACAAAACAAAAAAAACACCCAACTACATTTTTCTGAATCCCAAGGTAACTGGTATGGGAAGCATGACTTCTCTCAGTCTATTGACATTCATAATTAACTTTTCCTGAACCACATGGGTTGAGCAGTACCCATTTGGAAGCAGCCCCTAGTAGTTTTTAAACGACAGTGAACTTTCTCATGCCTTACTTGAAATATTTTATGTCTTACTACAGCCCCTCTTGGAGTCCTGGTGTGGCACTGTAGGATAAACACTTGACCACAAGGTTGGTGGTTCAAACTCATCAGTCTTTCCTTGCAAATCCTATTGTTGTTGTTGTTGTTAAGTGCCATCGAGTCGGTTCCGACCCACAGCGACCCTGTACAGGGTTTCCGAGGGTGTAAATCTTTCCTATACAGGGTCACAATATTGAGTCAGAATCCATTCGATGGCGCATAACAACTCCCTCTGGAGTTCTGGTGTGGCACTGCAGGATAAGCACTGGACTGCTATCCACAAGGTCGGTGGTTCAAAATCCAGCCACTCCTAGGAAACTATACAGGGAGGGTTACTGTGATGACAACAACAACAGCCTCTCCACAATTTTAATATATATATATTTGTTGTTGTTGTTAAGTGCCGTGGAGTCAGTTCCGACTCATAGCAACCCTGTACAGGGTTTCCGAGGCTGTAAATATTTATGGGAGCAGAAAGCCTCATCTTTCTCCTGCAGAACAGCTGGTAGTTTCGAACTGCTGACCTTGCAGTTCACAGCCCAATTCGTAACCACTACACTACCAGAGTCACTATGAGTCAGAACCAACTCAACGGCACTTAACAACAACTCTTGGAGTAGCACACTGGCACCCTACAATAAGTACTAGACTGTGAACCACAAGGTTGGCCGTTCGAGCTCACTAACCACTGGATGAGAGAAAGAAAGGCTTTCTCCTCCTGCAAAGATTGAAAGCTTTGGAAACACTATACACGGTTGCTATGAGTCAGAACTGACTCAACAGCACTTAGCAACAACATAGTAACAAAGCTCTGTATTGATTAAAAGCAAACTGAGGCACTAGGTAGAAATAAGGGATGGGTCTCTACTACTCATTGCCATCAGTCTATTCCGGCTCATGGTGGCCTCATGTATCACAGAGTACAACTACTCCATAAGGTTTTCTCAGCTATAATATTTACAGAAGCAATTCACCAGGACTGTCTTCCATGGCACTACTAGATGGTTTTGAACTATCAACCCTTAAGTTAGTTGCTGTGATTAGGTGCCGACAAGTTGATTCTGACACATAGTGACCCTGTATAGGGTTTCCAAGGAACAGGTGGTGGGTTTCAACCGCTGACCTTGTGGTTCACAGTCCAGTGCTTATCTTATAGTGCCACACCAGGAATCCAAGTATAAATAATTTGTACTAGCCAGGGGCCAAAGGGATGGGTAAAAAACAAAACAAAAACAACACTGCCATCAGTCAATTCCAACTCATAGTGACCTTACGGACAGAAGAGAACTTCCCCATAGGGATTTTCCAAGGCCATAAGCCTTTATGGAAGCACACTGTCACATCTTTCTCCTGTGGAGTAGTGGTGGATTAAAATGGCCAACCTTTCGGGTTAGCGCCCGAGTGCTTTAACTATAGATCTACCAGGGATCCTAAGGGATGGGTGGTAGTTGTAGTTCGTGGCTGTGTGTCATCGAGTTGGTTCTGATTCATAGCAACCCTGTACAAGATTTCTGAGGCTGAAAAACTTTATGGGAGCAGAAAGCCTCATCTTTCTCCTGAGGAGCAACCGGTAGATTTGAACTGCTGACCCTGTAGTTAGCAGACCCGTTTGTAATCTACTATGCTACCAGTGAGGAGTTATAAATTTTCAGATGAACAATAATAAAGTTTTTTTTTTTTTCTGAAAGAATTTAAGATTCTTCTGAAAATGACTGAATGTATAGCACTATAACACTGAATATCACTGACAGAAAGAGAGTTCAATAACAGTGAATTTTAGTATCTGGCCGTGTTTCACACACCATCAACAACAGTTCTGCCATATGCACATGCTTTCTACTCAGTTACACCCTCTTTATCATCCACCTTCCCTGATTTGCTGTAAGGGAGTGGGGCTTTGTATCTGTTTTTGTTCAGTTATGTGACCAGTTGCAGTCACATTGACTCTGACTCACAGGGACCCCAAGTGGGTCCAAATAGAACTATGCTCCACAGTGTTTCCAGTGGCTGATATTTCAGAAGTAGATTCCAGGCCTTTCTTCTGAAGTGTCGCTGGGTGAATTAAACCACTAACCTTTGGGTTAGCAGCTAAGCACGTTAACCGTTTTGTACCACCCGGGGGCACCTCAGTTATGTATTCCAGGGAATAAAAGAATCTGGAATACAGATGACATTTACTAAATGTTGAATAAATGAATGAAGCATCCCCTTCTATAGTATATAAATTAAAGCACAAGCTGCTACAACAAAGTGAATTTTTACTCCCTCAACTGTCATGCAAATACTGAATCACAATTACATAATAATCACTAGTAGTTTCTGTGGCAAACCATTTTTCCTAATTAATTGATAGAGCTATATCTAACTCTGCTATTGAATCTTAAGTGTAGAAGAAGAAAGCAATATATAGGTCAAGAGCATGTAAACCTATCCTATCAGGACTATACACTGGAGTTGGAGCCAAATGACCTGAGTTCTAGTCCAGCTTCTGCTGTGTGACTTTGAGACAGCCATTTCCTTCTTTGAGCCTCAGTTTTCCCATATGTAGAATGGGAAGATTCAAATAAAGTGAAGTATGATGAAGTTGCAAAGCACTATACTCATGCCATGCCATGTATTAATATCCTGAGAGGGAGTGGCCAGGTTCTCAGAAATAATTAAAAGGAAGACACAGACATCTGGGAGGAGGTCAGGTCCAAAAAACTAAGAGGAAGTCACAGACATACAAAAAAATTTTAGTATTTGACCTTTTGGTATTTTCATACTTGTCTCCCTGCTTAGTAAAAAACCTTAGAAGACAAAAGAAGTCACACATGTCTGTATTTTTAGCTATCATATATTTTTGTCCCTCCCCGGATGGCACGAATAGTTTAAAATAGTCAACTGCTAACCACAATGTTGGCAGTTCCAGTGCACCCATAGACACCTTGGAAGAAAAGTCATTGAAAACCCTGTGGAACTCAGTTCTACTCTGACACATATGGGGCCACCAGGAGTCACGTGGTTTAATGACAACTGATGAGTTACTATTTTCTATTTTATCCGTCACTTTTCCCGTATCTTTTGTTAGATGTCCTTATACATATTCAAAACATTGTCGCTGTTAGTAGTTGTTGTTGTTAAGTGCCCTCAAGTCGGTTTCGACTCACGGCCACTCTGCATAGGGTTTCTGAGGTTGTACATGTTTTTCAGGAACAGAAAGCCTCATCTTTCATCCACAGAGAAGTTGGTGGGCTCAAACCCCCGACCTTGTGTTTTGAAGTCCAGTGTTTATCCTAAAGCCACTGTGCTCCCATAGTAGTTGTGGTTGTTATGTGCCGTCAAGTTGTTCTGACTCATAGTGAACTGCCGACCTTGCAGATCACACTGACTTTGTGGTCCAGTGCATTATTCTGCAGCACCACACCAGGACTCCATAATAGTAGTTGTTGATGTTGTTATGTGCCATACAGTCGGTTCCGACCAATACTGACCTTGTATAGGGTTTCCAATGAGCGGCTGATGAGCTTGAACCACTGACCTGGTGATTCAAATGGACTTTGTATAGCTCATTAACCCACAGTGCCACACCAGGGCTCCATAGTTATAGTAGTAGTTGTTGTTGTTGTTAAGTGCAGGTGAGTTGGTTTCGACGCATAACAACCCTGTATAGGGTTTCCTAGGAGAGGTTGGTGAACTTGAACCACTGACAAGGCGGTTCAATCCAATCTTGTAGTCCAGCACATTAACCCACAGCGACACACCAGGACTCCATAGTACTGGTGGTGGTGGTATTTGCCGTGGAGTCAGTTCAACTTGTAGCGACCCTGAATAGGGTTTCTGAGGCTGTATATCTTTATGGGAACAAAAAGCCTCATTTTTCTCCTGCAGAATGACTAGTAGTTTCGAACTGCTAACCTGCAGTCCGACTCATAACCACAAGGCTACCAGAGCTCCTTATAGTAATGGTGGTGGTTGATGGTAGTGTACCGTGGAGTCGGTTCCGACTCATAGTGACCCTGTATGGGGTTTCCGACGCTGAAAATCTTTACGGGAGCAGAAAGCCTCATCTTTCTGGCCCGGAACAGCTGGTAGTTTCGAACTGCTAACCTTGTGGTTCGCAGCCGGATTCGTAACCACTACCCTACCAGTAGCTGTTGTTAAGGGCCATCGAGTGGGCTCCTACCCATAGCGAGCCTGTATAGGGTTTCCGAGGAGCAGCTGGTGAGCTTAAACCACCGACCTTGCAGTTCAAACAGCTTTGCATGCAGTCTGACGCATTAGCCCACAGCGCCACAGTGCACACCACTATCAGTGTAAAAATCAATCTGGTTCAATTCTCTCTAGATTAGCAACATTTTTAAGTTAAAAAATATATAAATCCACTTAATAAGATTAGTGTTTTATATTCATGCCTTGACACAAGCACATTTATCTTCACATATCAATTAATCTCCTTGTAAAGTTCAACAACTTTTAAGATAGATTTGATATACAGCCCACATGTAGAGATCGGTATTTTTGTCAGCTGCTGCCCTAGAGCAGTTCTTGGCCTCCCACAGCTCATTCTGGAAGACTGGTTTTCATGCGAATTTTAATCACTCTAGATCAGCTATGCATACTCTCTGAGGCCAAGAACCCAACCAAAAGGAGAATAAAACAAATCAGACTCCAGAAAATAAAAATTCTGATGAAACAAAACAGCAACCCAGCACTCATATTGTACTTTTTTTATTTATTAATTTTTTCAGGCTTACTACCAGCTGTTCTGCTGGTGAACGATGAGGCGTTCTGCTCCCATAAAGACTTACAGCCTCGGAAACCATGCACACATTCGCTATGAGTCAGAACTGACTCCACAGCACATAAAAACAAGGTAAAGTATTATCAGAAGCTGACAAATTTTATAGAATGAAGTTTTAAAGTAATTTATTGAAAAGTTTTTCCACCTCTATAGACATGCTACAAGGTGTCTTGGTGGCACACTGAGCACAGAATGAATGATGTTCGAACCCGACATCTACTCCTCGGGAGAAGAGACCCAGTGATCATATCGTGTAAAGATTGTTGCTCTTACGTGTTGTCAAGTGGGTTCTGACTCACAGTGAGACTGTACAGGCCTTCCAAGGTTTTATATCTTTGCAGGAGCAGAAAGCCTCATTTTTCTCCCATGGAGTGGCTGGTGGGCTCAAACTGACCCTGTGACTCGAAGTCCAATGCTTATCTTACAGAGCCAAGGATAAAGATTATCCTTGTTGTTGTTAAGTGCCGTTGAGTCGGTTCCGACCCATAACGACCCTGTATAGGGTTTCCAAGGAGCGGCTGGTGAGCTTGCAGTTCAAATCGACTTTTCAGTCCAGGGTATTAGCCAGGACTCCTCTGTAAAGATTGTTGTTGTTATGTGCCGTTGAGTCAGTTCGGACCCATAACGACCCTGTAGAGAGTTTCCAAAGAGCAGCTGGTGAGCTTGAAATGCCAATTTTGCAGTTCAAATGGCTTCGCAGTCAGGCGCATTAACCCACAGCGCCACACCAGGACTACAAAAGAGTATATCCTAGGAAATACTACGCGGCAGGTCTACCTTTGTCTCAGCTCTACTCACTATGAATCAGAATCAACTCAATGGCACACAGCAACAACACAACAGAGCACAACACGTCACAGAGCAGAAAAAGTTTTGCTTACAAAAGACTATCATTAAATAAGCTGGCTCTTGCTGTACAGTTAAAGCTAGCGGCAAAGCAATGTAAGAGTCATAGAATGTAGATTTGACATGTAATAGCTATTACTGAAAATTCTATTCTTTCATGTAATGTTCATGTCATTTATTCTGTACGTATTTTTCTACCCCCAAGCGCAGACTATGCAAGAATAGTAAAAGAAAACAAAACAATTTTGACCTTTATTTTCATTCTCTTAACTCTCATAAGAATAAATTTTAACTAAATTATACTATTTTTTAAATTTTACAATATTGGCTATATTAAACGATGTTTTATGAAGAGTCACTGAAATAATCAGAACAATGTCTAACATCTACTAAGCGTTCAACAAATATTTGACAATTGACAAACTGTAATATTTCAGTCTCTATAGCAATAAACAAGAACATGAAAAATTCACTTGAGAGGTTCTTTCTTTTTTCCAGAAAATGTTTGTTCTTAAAAGTTACGCAATAATTAAAATACAAAAAGCATAATCTGTTTTTCCCCTCACCTTTTCTAGAAAGTAGGCGTATGTGAAGGCAGAAATGAGAGAATCTAAGTCACATGACTTATGTCCAATAACCACGTGGACTTTCTCCAGGCGTTTGCTTCGATTCTGAAACAAATTCAAACGAAACATCAAATTTTAACTTGAATGGATCAGTCTAAACAGAAAACATTTCAATCTTTTTTTAAAAAGCATGTTCTAGCTATAGTCAGACACGGTGCCAGAAATTCATAAATTTACCATAAAATTTTTACATGAGAATATAATTTTAATATTCAGAAATATACAAGACCAGTACTGAACTGTCATTTTAAAAACGTGATTGTATTAAGAGTACCTCTAAATTCTGAATTTTTAGTGAAAGATTAATTCTGTTCTAAGGAGCAATTGCGTAGTATTCAGTATCATTTCCTTATATAAGATGGGCATCTTAATTTGTGAAATAAATAACATCATTCGAATGTTCTTGGAATTCAATGTAAACACATAAACACACAATTTGTCAGGAATTTATTTTTTCAGTTCAGCTAATGTTTTCTCTTTGCACTTTTCTAACCTCAGAGGAAGAGATATGAGTCTTATCCTTGCTCTAAAAATACACAAGACAGTTACTCTTTAAAATATATTTAATCAGTTCTCTGAAAGAGAAAAAAAAAAATCTTTTTTTTTTTCTGATTAACTCAGTAGTTACTAAAATACTTCTTTATAATAGACTGGCCTTTTGAAATTCTGGGCTGGAGATTGCAAAGAACAAACAACTTCTAGAAAATGCTATAGCAAAACTGTTCAATACCTATAACATATTTATATTTTTATGGTAATGTCAGAAATGACAGATGTTTCCATTTTTTTTAACTCCCTTCTTTAGAACCAACTAGAAAGCCAACTCTATTGCAATTCTTCTCTGACGACTATGCAAAAGGTAAGACTGTTTCAGCAAAAACAGTTAAATTATTATTCCTTTATCTGCAGAGCAACAATAAAGCATCTTTTAGTAGCTTACTAGACTTTTTTTTAAAGTTTTTATTGTGAAGTGAGTGATAGTTTTCATGGGAGAGCATGGCTTGACACCATCGTTTCACTGCAATGATTACAGTCTTCTCTGTGCATCATCAATCAACAGTAGTTGCTTCTGATCCCTCGGGTTTCTTGGGGTTTTTTTGATGTACACAAAAACACTCAGAAATATATATATAATTTAAACAACCAAACGGCACATTCTGCAAGGCTGCCACCTGGCCTCCAGCACACAGCCTTTCTCTTTCCATGAATCTAGAGTCCTCAGCGGTTCTATTTCTCCATGTCCTCATTTATGCCTCCATCTCTGGTGTCGCTGCTTCTCTGAATAGTGTACCACATTCCTCTTGTGCTCTTCTCCCTTGATGGTCCTATGGTCCTCTGTTTCTGGACTATAAAATTAACTACTCCCCACTTTTTGCTACAAAATTTCTACCTTTACAGTTGTGATAGTCGCAATTAGTCATGATTACAATTACTCACTATTTAATTACTAGACATTTTAAAAATAAATCTGTAAGTCTGTTAGTGTTTGTATAGAACTGTACTGCTAACCAGAGGTTGAAGGTTCAAACCCACCAGCTGCTCCTTGCAAACCCTTTACAAAGTATGAACTGACTTGATAGCAATTAACAGCAACAACAGCTGTCATCATAATCAGAAACAAGTTGTTAAACAACCAGGTTGTAGCTGAAGGAATATTTTAAAGCAAAACTCTAAGGGGACTAGATTAAGAGTCTATCAGTTACAAACCAAAATTATAGAATCAGTGTTGCAGATGAGTCTCTCGATATGCAATATTGTTAAATTTATCCAAATAAACTTATATTTTAAAAAAATCAGTATATTGAGAATATACTGATCCTAGCAAAACAACATTTAAAAAGTATAATAGAAACTCCCTGAAATGACCATAATTCCCTTCACTCATCACCACCCAGTCCAGTTCCTATTTCTTCCTCTCCCAACTTCCTTCCCCTAAACTCATAAATCAATAACTGACTGAATTAGCTGAGTATCCTATGAGGATTATAATTGAGGCATAGCTCCTCCCACTATCAAAGCTGTGTTAGGTAAGACAGTTAAATATTCTAGAAGCACCTAAAGAAAATTAGACAAATGGAATCAATGCTATTACAACATAAACAGATTCATTAGAAAATCTTATTACTGTAGTGAGCCATTCTTCTGAGAAGCTCAAAGGTCTAAATAGACATTACCTCATGTCTCCTCTAAAGCACTGTAAGGCAGACAGTAAAAAGATTAATGACATATTTTACAGGTCAATAGAGTCTATGGTGAGGCCAGGATTGTTCCCAGAACCCACAACTCAGTACAATGAGTTGTGTGTCTCCCCTGTCCTGTATAAGCTCAGGAATGGAGGTAAAAAGAAAATGTCGAATATACATTCTAAATCAGCAAGGCTTCAACCATTTATAACACCAAAATTACCCCGAAGCTGGTCTATCTATTTGTTTAACAAGATTCAATATTTCCTACTAGGCACAACTCTATTCAACTTTCATCTTGTCATCAAAATGACCTGGGGGAAACAGACATATTTGTGTGTCAATTCACTTACAAGCCCAAACTCAATTATTACTTGGGAAAAGAATGAAACCAAATATGGATTAGGAAACCAAAATATGCTGGACCAATTCTGACAACTCAAGGGCCTGGTAAGATTAAATCTATTTCTTCCTCTCCATTAAAGGGTGAAGGGTCAGAGAAAAAGAGGAAGACCCCTAATGAGATGGATTGTCCAAGTGGCAGCTCGATGGACTCAAGCGTGGCAACAGTAGTGAGGTTGGCCCAGGATCGGGCAGTATTTCGTTCTGCTGTGCATAAGGTCACTATGGGTAGGTACTGACTCGATGGCACCTAACAACAATAATAATTAAAGGGTAGAGGAGAAAGTAAAGGTTCTCACACTGAATGGACTCATAGCAGACCCCAGTGCAAAACTTTGAGGATATTCTTGGTGTCATACGCCTCTCTTTTCATGCTCTCTCCTTCCTCCTCTGATCTTCCTTCTTCTCACATACATAGTCATGGCCTTTTCCAATGCCATACATTCAGTCTGCCGTTCCCAGTTAGTGCCCAATTCTTCCTCCAACCACTGTCCTCCACCAAGATGTACCAGCCTGGTGCCAGTGCTATTAGGGACCTATCTGTTTCTCCATTAGCAACTACAATGGAGAATCCATGCCAATGAGTTGATGATATTAGTCACTTTGAATCAATTCTGACTCATGGTGACCTCTTGTGTGTACAGTAGAACTATTACAAAGCATTTTCAAGGCTGTAACCATTCAGAAGCAGACTGTATAGGTCTATATTTTCAGAGGCTCCTCTGGTTAGTTTGAACTATCAACCTTTTGACTAGTTAACCATTTATGTCACCCAGGGACTCCCTGCCAATGAGTACTTCATTAACCGATGGAAATTTAATGAGCTTTCCATCAAGATAAGGCCCTTTCATTTTAAAGAGACCTTCCATAGATTATGTCACCATTCCAAAAAGATGGCTGGAAATTTCAGGCTGGCTGAGAAGACTGGACCAGACAGAATGAATATGGAAATCAGAAAGTACCTTGGGATGCCAACCAGTGAGCCTTAAACATGGCAGAATTGGCTTAAATTTTTTTTTCAAATACCCATAAGTATCCGTTACAAAATATAAGAAGAGGAACAGCAAAAGATAAATATACTCACAGTAACGTTGCTCAGACAGACTCCTGCATTCTTTGGATGAAAACAGGAAATTATTTAGTAGGTAAACTCAGGGAAAGTGTATGATTTGATTCTTCAAATTGGGAGTCAAGAACTCACCAATTGATTTTGGCAAAGACACCATCCATGTGAAAAACTTCTGGGATTGATTTTTAGGATGTCTAGGGTTGGTAGGGCACTGTAGTATCAGGACTGGGCTGTTAACCACAAGGTGGATAGTTCAAACCCACTAGCAGCTCCTCGGAAACCCAATAAAGGCTCAGAACTGACTCAACAGCACAACAACAAGGGGTTGGTAAAAGGATCCCTGGGGAGGCTCTGGGTTAGGCAATGGGCTGCTAACTGCAAGACTAGGAGAAAGGTGAGGCTGTCTACTCCCTTAAAGATTTGCAATCTCCAGAAATCCTATATAGGGATGCTATGAATTAGAATTAACCCAATATCAGTGAATTTGGCTTGGTTTGACTGGGTAACGGGAGGTTCTTAAGGCACTGGGTCCAATTAGTTTGGCATTGACACAAGGAAAGAAGTCATAATACTGGTTCATAGAACTCGGGAGGAGACTCTTAATCACAAAAATATTTTGATCCTTTCATAGCACATCCGTTGGCCCCTTCCTATGTCATATCTCCACATATTCAAAGAATTAGGATGTTCAATTCTCGTATCCATGTCCTTTGATAATCTCTGTGTGGTGCAGGGTTTAAAGCATTTGACTGTTAACTGAAAGATTAGAAGAAGTTCAAGTGCACCCAGAGGCATCTCAGAAGAAATGCTTCTATGTTTGAACAATCACCCATTGGAAACCCTATGGAGCACAGTTCTACTCTGACACACAGAGTCACCGTGAGTCCGAGCAGACTTGAGGGCAACTGTTTTTGTTTTTTGTTTTAATGTGATTTGAGTGAAAGTTTACAGGGCAGATCATCAGTTTTACATAAAACAAATCATATA